TCCTTAGCAGGGGTTGTATTACAAAATAGAAGAGGACCGCCGTGCCAGCGACACTCATCATCCCGCTCAGCCCCACAAGGGACCCCCGGCTGGACCGGGGTCTCTTCCCGCTCGGTTTTGTCGGCCTCTGGCTCAGGGAGGCCCGACAAGAAATGCTTTTAAGAACTGAAAAGGAAGAGTTTTGAGTGAATGAGCCAAACAAGATAAAGTGAGGATTTTGGCTAGATCATAAACAAAGCAGTGATAAGCAATTCTCACAACCAATTCCAAGTTAGATTTTATTTTGTAATGTATCGTCATTCCAATACATTCTTGAAATCCCCAAGATGGGCAAGAAATACAATAAACAATTAGAGAATACTGATGAAAGTAGGTGACCGTGGGCAGGGCATCCTCTTGCTTCTCCCCACTCTTCAAGTATATGACCACTGACCTGAAACCAACCTCTGTGGCAGACTGGCAGAGGAATTAACAAGGTAGAGAGGGTGTGTGTTGTAGAGAGGGCTGTGGGTGTGTGTGTGTGTGCGTGTGTAGAGGGGTGTGTGTGTGTGTGTGTGTAGAGAGGGCTGTGTGTGTGTGTGTGCGTGTGTGTAGAGAGGGGTGTGTGTGTGTGTGTGTGTAGAGAGGGCTGTGTGTGTGTGTGTGCGTGTGTGTAGAGAGGGGTGTGTGTGTGTGTGTGTGTGTGTAAGGGGAGGAAGGAAAGACATGCTTCTCCATGAGCCTCCTCTGTGCTGTTTGCTCACCCATTTGCTCCACGTGGTGAGTTTTTATACTTACTTTATAAATCTAAACGGACAAATTTAAATAGTAAGTTAGTTGTTCTGTTATCAAGCATGCATACTCACTCCTCACAATTTTGGTTGTTTTTTCTCAGTTGTGGTCAAAGTTAGAATGACCTAGCCACTGTGGACATACATTTCACCAAGTCATTTTAACAAGATACAGGTGTTCTCACAAACAGCTTTTAAAGAAGGAAAACTTACACAGAAGAGTCCAACTATAATTACAAAAAAACAAAAACCAAAAAAAATCTCTGATTTTATTTCTTACATATTTTTGCACAAGCTGGAACAAGGCGACTGAAAGCTATTATATATGGTGAACAGCTGACAGAAAGAGAGCCCAGATTTAGGGTTTTCCCCATGTATTAGTGAGCTTGGGCTGCCATAACAAAATACCATAAACAGAGTGGCTTAAAGAACTGAAACTTACTTCTCAGAGTTCTGGAAGCTGAAAGTCCAAGATCAGGGTGTCAGTATGGTCAGGTTCTGGTGAGAGCTCTCTTCCTGGTTTGCAGATGGCTGCCTTCTCATTGTGCCCTTCTCACATGGTGCAGAGAAAGAGCAAGCTCTGTGATGTCTCTTATAAAAGCAATAATACCATCATGAAAGCCCTATCCTCACAACTTCATCTAAACCTAAGTGCCTCCCAAAGGCCTTATTTTCAAATACCATCACATTTGGGTTAGGGCTTCAACACATTAATTTTGGGAGGACTGAAACAGTCCATAACAATCCACATTCCACCAAACACTTGTTGCACACAAGCATTACATAAAAATACTGATGTTTATTCACAAAAATACAGACAATTTATTTTCACATAAAACAATAACAAATAATTTCTCCCTGCTCAGAAGTTTCTCATTCTTTGAGACATCCTTGTTCTTTTCCTGTTAGCCTGTCTCAGGCATGTTAGATTTTTACATTCTGAAGATTATCTATCCTCATATCCATGGAGACAATATGGTAATGACTCTTTGCTTCATACCATTATGAGTGCTATCTTTACCGCCCTAAAGATTCACTCTGCTTTATTTTCACCCACAAGTTTCTGTCAGCTGAAAGTGGCACCCTGTTTTACGAGGAAGTTCCTTACATTTGATAGTTCTAGTTCTGAGGAACAGACTCATACTCTTTTCATGTGACCTTAAATCAGTCTTAAGTCCCATTCACAAAAATGGACTTCACAATTCCACTTTCTTGTGACCAATGAAACATCCTTAACACTACACTAGAAATAAAATATCAGTAATTCTTATAAAATAAAAAATGGTCTTCAGTCATAATGACAGATCCAATTTTCTAAGCTTGCCTTAGTTGATTTCAAATCCTCAGGTCAAAAGTCACCAATGACTTTTGCTCTTTGGCTTTCAAAGTGACATCATGAAATGGTCCCATATATACAAAATATATGTCATAGACAAATACCTTTTTCCCATGCCTCTGACTCTGCTTCTTTAACAGCTTCTTTCTTTACTTTCATGGATTTAAAACCACTTGGGCTTTTTCTTCGGAATGTGTATTCTGATGTCGAATCAGGGATGAGCTCCGACTATATGCCTTCCCACATTTACTACATTCATAGGGTTTCTCTGAAGAATGACTTCTCTGATGTCGAATAAGGTCTGAACCACTGCTAAATGCCTTCCCACATTCATTACACTCATAGGGTTTCTCTCCAGTGTGACTTCTTTCATGTAGAATAAGGGATGTGCGCTGACTAAAGGCCTTCCCGCATGTTTTGCATGTATATGGCTTTTCTCCGGTGTGAATTCTTTCATGTTGGGCAAGGTGTGCACTCTGACTGAAGGCCTTCCCACACTGATCACATTCATAGGGTCTATCTTCAGTATGAATTCTCTTATGTCGAGTAAGAGATATTCGATGACTGAAGGCTTTCCCACATTCTTCACACTGATAGGGTTTTTCTCCAGTATGAATTCTCTGATGTTCAATAAGAAATGACTGGCGGCCAAAAACTTTACTACACTTATTGCATTTAAAAGGTTTTTCTTCAGAATGAATGTTCTGATGTATTTTAAGGTTTGCAGTTCCACAAAACATCTTCCCACATTCCTTACATTCAAAGAGTTTCTTTTTCTTTTTATGAATTTTTTGATGTTGAATAAGGGATGAATGCCGATTGCAGACCTTCTCACATTTATTGCATCTGTATAGTTTCTTTCCATTGTGAGTTCTTAGATGCAGAATAAGGGTTGAAAGCCGCTTGAAGACCTTCTCACATTTATTACATTTGAAGGGTTTCTCTGAAGTGTGAATTTTCTGATGAAGCATAAGGGGTGAAATCTTATTAAAGGATTTCCCACATTTTCTGCATTTATAAGGATTCTCTAAATGGTGACTTCTCTGCTGTAGACTCTGAGATAAGACCTTCTCACTTTCAAGGGTTCTCTCTCCAGTATGAATTCTTTTATGTATAATAAGGACTGATTTCTTTTTGAAGACTTTCGCACATTGATTGCATGTATGTATTTTCTTTACATTGTGAATTCTCTTATGAAGTAAAAGGGATGACATCTGACTGAAGGCTTTCCCACATTTTCTGCACTGGTGGATGTTCTCAATGATGTGAATTTTCTGATGTGTACTGAGAGATGGGAATTGATGCAAGACCTTCCTACAAATAAAGGTTTCCTTTCCATCATGAATTCTCCTATGTAAAATAAGGGTGGTTTTCTGATTGAATTTTTTCCTACATTTATCACATTCATGGATATTTTTTCCATCATGAATTCTCTGATGAAGAATGAGGGATGAGATCTGTCTAAAAGCTTTTCTACAATTACTGCATTCATAAGGCCTCTCTCCAATATGATAATTCTGATGAAGCTTAAGAGATAAGCTTCGACTAAAGGTTTTCCCACAGTCATTACATTTTAAAGATTTCTTCCCTGAATGACCTTTCTTGGGTTTTATTAGGGCTGAATTTTTGTTGTGGCCCTTCTTCCCTATGGGAACTTTTTGTTGTGCAGAAACTGGTTTGTGATAGATGCTTTGCCCAGATTGGTTGCGTTGATTTGGAGGCAACTTCTTGGTCTCACACTTAGGTCCTGAGTCTGAAAGACATCAAGAAATTAAATGTTTGTTTCCCTGTGCTGGAAAAATGAAGTTTGTATAATATAAATGCAGTCACTGTCAACCTCAGTCATAATAACCATGATACTAACCAGAACAATAACTTTTTAGTGTCTTATTATTGTTTCACTTACCATACTAAGGGCTTTTCAGAAATATTTAATAACTGGAATTCAAGAGAGTTTGCAATTTGAAAATGAATAAATCAAAGTTTTATTTATAGGATAAATTTTATACCATATACCACATTAAACTCCATTCATTAGAAAGGTTATTCATTAGATATTTTTATCATATGAATTGTTCAAAAAAGGCAAATCTATATAAACAGAAGTGATTGCCTGGGGCTGGAGGTGGAAATAAAGATTAACTGTAAATATGCATGAAAGATCTCACTGGGGTGATGAAAATATTCTAAAACTAGATTATGGGGATGGTTACACTACTTGGTAAATTTATGAAAAATCAATGGATTATACTCTTAAAAGGGTGAATTTTATGATATGTAAATTATACCTCAATAAAGTCATAAATTTTAAAAATGTATTCTTAAAATCAAATCTTTAAAAAAAACCTAGTAGTAATTAGAATTGAGCATTTAGATATTTAGAAGGGTAAAAACTTAACTCAGAGAAGTAGGAAAAACTCTAAAAAAAAAAAAAGGTAAACTACATGTGTGGCACACTGATTATAAATTTGAGTGTATATGGCACAATAAACAGAACACAGACTTTAGAACCATGTTATCCAATACAGTAGCCACTAGTCATGTGTAGCTACTGAGCACTTGAAATATGGCTGGTCTGATTTGAGATGTATTATGAGTATAAACACACACCGGATTGTGAAGACTTAGTACACAAAGAAGTAAGTAAAATATTTCATTATAAAAATATTGATTACATGTCATAGTATTTTGGATACACAGGTTAAATAAAATATATTATTAAAATTAATTTGACCTATTTTTTAAAATTTATCTTAACATAGATACTAGAAAAATTTTAATTACATATGTGGCTCACATTATATTTCTACTGGACAGCTGTGCTTTAAAGGCATACTTGGAATTTACTGAAGTGCTTGTCATTTACCTGCATCACCATGAAAAACTCTCTTTACCTTTTATTACTATCAGCATTATGCTCTTTGAAATGTAGATATAATTACCTACCTCACAGTTTTTTTGTGAGAATTGAAAATAACATGTACAAAATTTCTGGCACATACTATACCTTCCTATCTGCCATTCCAGTATTAAAAAATCTGAGAGCCAAAGCTTTCTTTTCTTTTTTCTGTGTGTGTGTGTGTGTGTGTGTGTGTGTTTGTGTGTGTTTGAACATTTGGAACAAAACCCCCTGAAGTACAATTAGGTTATTCATACCCTTCATTTATTGTACATAGGAAGCTAACTACTTACATTTTTTTTTTCCTTTTTGTCTTTTTTCATGTCCGGCAACGGATCGCAACCCTCAGTGTCGCGCCCGTACCGGACTGGGATCAGCAATGGGATTGCAACCCTCGGTGTTGCGCCCACACCTCGCTCAGCCAGTGAGCGGGAACCGGTCTGTATGTGGGATCCGAACCCTCGGCGGGAGCGCCACTGCGCTCCCAAGCGGCACACTGTAGCAGTGCGCCACCGGGCCGGCCCTAAATCACATAGCTACTTTTTTTTTTTTTTGTCCTTTTTGTGACTGGTAAGGGGATCGCAACCCTTGGCTTGGTGTCGCCCACACCGTGCTCAGCCAGTGAGCGCACCAGCCATCCCTATATAGGATCCGAACCCGCGGCGGGAGTGCCACTGCGCTCCCAGTGCTGCACTCTCCCGAGTGCGCCACGGGGTCGGCCCTAACTAGTTACATTTTTTTTGTGGAAATATTAATGTATTTGATTTGGGTGTATTGCTCTAACACCTACTGTGTGTGTTACACAATATGACCTGTTTACTCTTCTAAAATCTAAACAATTTTGTATATGAAACACATTTCACTCCAAGGGTTCTAGAGAAAGCTTTGTGGACCTGCAGCTGTTTAATATCTGGCAGTAGCTATCATTATAGTTATTATTAGTAGAAGTACCACAAAATAATCTGGCAAAAATGGAGAATGAAAGAAGGGAGATAACTGAAACTTTGACAGTGAAGTTAGTGGCATCCTCCAGACAAGAAATCCAGGATTTATCTTATAATCTTTTCTGCCTCATATTCCATAAGTCACATAAATTCTGCTGCTTCTCCCATCCACATTTTCCTCAAATTCCTGCCTTCTTTTTTTTTTTTGCATCTTTTTTTAATCAGGATCTCACTCTTTCTTGTGTTGAATACTAACATATCCCATTAGCTCCTCTCCCTGTTTTCAATCTGGAAGTCCCTTAAACCACAGCATATACCAAAATTAATCCCAGGTAAATTAATTATTAGTTTAATATTAAAATATAAAACAATTAGCAACAAACTAAAATAAGATAATATGGAATATATCCCAAATTCTAGAAAGCAGACAAATTTCTAATTA